AAAAAAAAAGATTTTTAGCTCCTGACTATCCATCTTCTTCTCTAAGTCATCATTCTTGATGATGTCAACATCTGTAGATACCTAAAACCTCAGATTCTAAGTTCCCTGACCTCCTTAAAGAAATAAACATGGTTCTTCCTCACACCTAACATTTCTTTCCACCTGGAAGAAGCTCATCAGTGTAACACTCTTTGGCTTCTCTCTGCCCCAGGGGCTTTGGAGTGGCTTGAGAGGAATACACTGGCATACTCAGTTCCGCTCTTCCCTTACTTTTTAAGTACCAGCGGGCCTGCCTGCAAGAAGTGGGTGTTCTCTGCTCTCCACAAAGAGAAACCTGCCCAGGCAAGGCTCACATATAACTAACTAGTAGGAAACTGATGAATTGTAGGGCTCAGTTCTCATGCTCACTCGGCTTTCATATCTATCTATCTTCTGGTTTAGACATTTTTAGTTATAATGATTATGTTTTAGCCTCTACCTACCAATCTAAAAGTCTCAATTTTTACTATTTTCAGTCTTTTAATCTCACCTCCTCCCTCTCCCACCTCAGTGGTCCGTTCCAAAGTCAATCCTAAAGTCAGAATTTGCAAACTTCCTTAAGTTTGCTGGCATGCTCATAAATCTCCCCCTAGAAAATGAGATACACTAAGTTTGAGATGAGGTCTGAGACCAAATTAGAAGGCTTAGCTCCTACCAAACACTCTAGGAGTAAGAATTGGAGGGGACTTTCTCCATAAATAGTTTCTGGATAAAAAGAATAGTCAAATTGACTAAGTTAGTCTGCTTCCAACTATTTCAGAGATGAAATATGGGAGCAACTTGTCTTTTGAGGGTTTTTTGTTGTTTATAATTTCTATTTACGGATCACATGGCAGGAAGGTTGCCTGTCCTTTTTATATTTCAGTGGTTTTTAGTCACAAGAGTGAGCAACCCTCACCGTTAAACCAGGCAATTGGCTACAGGCAGATTTAACTCGATTTCTGTGAGTTTTTCAATCCATTTCTCAGTCCCAGCCATCTTTCCCAATGTCCAGGACAGAAGAGTGCCCTTGGGGTTCAGGGCTGCTTTGCCAGCACCCACTGGCTTCTGGGTGGAATACCCACGTGCCTGTGTGCTCCTCTGGGGGTGAGGTCCTTGGGGCAGTGTCACAGGTCAAGGCCTCCAGCCTGGTGGCACCTGGGCCTGCTGGGGAGCCACCACCCCCTTTCCTGGACTGCAGTAGGGTGTAGGGCCTCCCGGAGTAGAGCTGGGGCGTATGGGAGCAGCACTCAGAAAGGGGGAAGTGGTCATGTCCTGCAGTCCTGCAGAGGGAGGACATGTAGTAGCCCCAGGGATGGAGGGACATCACGGTGGCAGCTCTCAAGTAGGGCGTCCCAGGCTCCAGATCATGGGGGGCACGTGCAGGAAGTAGGGGTCTGGGGTCTTTGGTGGCGGAGCACAGACAGGGGAGTAGGGCACCACGCATATCAGCAGCAGCACCACCACCACCACCAGCAAGTGCGAGGGGCCTGGAGCAGAGGCTGCGACGCCAGGAGATGCCAAGCCGCAAATCGTGTATGTCTCCAGGCAGGCAGTGAAGGCCATGAAGTGCACCACGTACGTCTATTCCTGCACGCTGTGCAGCAGGTGCGCCTGCGGACCGCAATCTTGAACACAGCCACGTCCTCACCGTGAGTCTCAGAGCTCAGGGGCACTGCTGCCTGCTGCTGTTAGGAGTGGTCCGTGATCTCGGTTTCACATCAGGCTGGACATTGCCCTTCGGGTAGCCTGGGCCACTGCCATAGAGGATGGAGGTGTAGTTCTTGCCATCTGAGGCCCTGCTCCTCACCAGTCCTGTGGGGAGGGAGGCGACCTGGATGACACTCCTCTTTTGAGTTCCTGACTGCTAGTGCCAAGTGTTGATTGTGAATCCAAGCAAGATTAAATTGTTAACAGTCTCAATCTTTTCTCCATCTATTATAATGCTGCCATTTGGCTAGGTGGTGAGAATCTTTGTTTTCTTGATGTTGAACTTCAATTCATATTAAAGACTGAAGTCCTTGCCCTTCTGCCATAAATGCTTCAAGTGCATCTCAGTTTCAACAAGTAAGGTTGTATTTTCTTTATGCTAAGGTATAATATATACTGAAGACTACAGTCTTTAACCTTCATCAACAAGTCCTTCAAATCTTCATTTTCTATACGCATTTGTATCATCTGCATAATACAAGTTGTTGCTGAGTCTCCCTCCAATCCTGATGCTACATTTTTATTCATACCATTTGATTTCTTGGATTATTTGCTCAGCATACAGAATGAACAGGTATCATGAAAGGATACAAATCTGAGAGATACTTTTCTTGATTTTAAACTATGTAGTTAATATCCCTTTGCTCTGTATGAATGGTTGTCCCTTGGTCTATGTACACATTCCTCAGAAGCTAAAGTAAGTTCTTCTCAATGTTAGCCATAATTTGTTATGATCTACATAGTCAAATGCCTTTGCATAGTCAATAAAATACAAGTAAACATCTTTATGGTATTCTCTGCTTTCAGCCAACGGACCCGGCTTTAGCAATGATGTACTTCATTTCATAGCCTCTTCTGAATTCAACTTTAATTTCTAGCAGTTCCTGTCAACTGCTCCAGCCATTTGAAAACTATCTTCAGCAAGATTTTACTTGTGTGTGATACTGTTTCCACATTCTGCTGGATCTATTTTTTTTCCCCAAATGGGCACAAATATGGATCTATTCCAGATCGGTGATCTTCCAAATTTCTTGGTACATTAACACATTGCCGCAAATGATGGTAAAAAAATGTGTTTCTAAGCACGGTCGTCAATTTAAGTGTGCAGCAACGTGTTAAGTGAGCACATCCAGGGCTGCATTCGTTTGCTAAAACAATTCAACTGGTATTTTCCACCAATCCCTGAAGGTGCGTATGTATCCTATTGTATCACTGACAGTACTGTACTTCAAATAGCTCTTGAAATAATTCTTCTTGATGAATATGATGCTGCCTCTTCTTTTAATGGTATAGTAGATTATATGATTGACTGATTCAATAGGGCAAATTGCAATCCATTTCAGCGCACTAATGATATCAATCTTTTGTGTTGTTTAATTTTCAATAATCTACCTACCCCCATTTGGAAAAGGGGGCTATTTAAAAAAAAACAACACAAAAACAAAAAGCAAGTGACCGAACAGAATGCAGAAACTATCAAACAATATCAGACACAAGTAAAATCTTGCTGAAGATTATTTTTAAATGACTGTAGAAAAAAAAAATTTACTGCATCAGTATATTGATGGGAAACTGCCAGAAATTCAAGCTGGACTCAGATGAGGCCAGCAATGAGGGGTCAGCAAATGTTTATTGATCATATCTGTTAGGTTGAACTTAGAAAAAGTGGGCTGGCATGAAGCAGAGGCAGAAAAATAAATAAAAACCAAAAACCAAATCGGATGCTAGTCTCACCTCCAGCATTTACCAACTGGGAAGGGTTTGCACCAGGTCTCATAGCTAATCAGTGACTGGTGGCCAGGTGGGGCTAAAGCCAGAAGCCCCCAGGAAGGAGGCCAGCTACAGGAGACAATGAGTATGTGAATCTAAAAATAAATCCTTCATTGACTTTCTGGATGCTTTATTCAGAGTTTTTTGTGGTACCCTTAACTCCAGGGTGGTGGAAGTGTTAGTACTCCAAAGTCTATAAGCAAAACCCTCTCTAAGCTTCAGTTTTGTTATATATAAAGGGGAGGTAAACCTCCCTACCTTGCTAAGTGACTTGAGGATTAAAGAAGATGCCATATGTAGCATATGTTGCACCTCCCAGTCAAGCCTATTTCCAAATGCAGCTTCAGGAACCTTCTACCAATAACTCAACTCTCCCAACCCTAACTCATTAAGTTCTCCACAGTATGACTAGTCACCTATTCTAGCCATGCCACTCAAATGACCTTAACTTAATCTTTCTGGGCCTCAGTTTCAGTATCCAAATCATGGGGACAACATTCTACTCTCACAGCTACTTGATGACCTATTTTGATAAACCTTTGTATCTTTGTGGCAAGTCACATCTCTTTCTCGGCATAAAGGGATAATAATGTCCACCTCAAAGACTGCATATGTAATCCAAACATGGCAACCAGATACAGTTAATGTTCCACAAATCACACACTGCCCCTCCTAGGCAGTCTGAGTGGGAACGTGTGTAGGTTAGGGATTTCCCCCCTCCTCTTAAAATGTATTAGTAAAACTGAGGCCGAACGGGACTGCTTTCAGATTCTGCTCTACTCTTGCATGCAACTTTATTCTCTGTATCATAGTATACACATCTGTAACTTTATTCCTCGAAAACTCTGTATGTTGGTTGTTTGTGTGCCTTCGTAACCTGATCCTCCAGCTATGAGTTTCAGAAGAAATAAATCACAGGATAGGGAGGTGACTGCCAACCTTCTCCAGCGAAGCAACTGGTGGATTCCAGCCTTTGGGATTGCAGCGCAGCCTTTTACCACTAGGCCATCTCTGTATACACATTGGTAAAATAAGAACAGCATGTTCCAAAGAGCCACAAGGCTAAATTGATCCAAAAGGGTGTGCCAACCTTACAGTAAATGCTCAATAAACGTTAGCTTTCCGTATATAAGCCTTCAATCAGTGGGAGAGCAGAATTTTCCCAGCCACTCTGATCCCTTCCCCTCTGGAATCTTCTGCACCTGTTGGCCAGGTGGGTGGCTGGTGAACTGTGCTGGCTCACACTGAAAGGCCTCGGCTCATGTGGCCCTCAGAGCCTTCACTTTCCTGCCACCTGCCAAAGGCCCAGAAAAAGGTAAGCAACTCTCCCAGTAAGACCAGGGTCCTGTCTGAACCCAGAGGCTGAATCTGGGATCCCTAGGGTAGGTCCCAGGAGGCCCCGACCGTCCCAAGCACGGCCAGGTGTGGGTCTCCCGGCGGCCCGGGCTGGCTCCGGAGCACGTTACCCGTCCACGGCTCCGCAGCTCGCGCGCCAGCACTGGGCCTCGTGAGGCACGCCGGGATTTGTAGTCCACGGCGAGCCCCCAGAGACCCGCTTAAGGCGGCGTGAGGACTCCAAGCCCCAGGGGGCTTCGCGTGACCAGAATCGTGCCGAGTTTGCGATTCAAGGGAGTCCAGAGCGCCCCGGGCCAGCCCAATGACTGCTGCTACTCGATACAGGACCGCCAGCGAGCACGTACAACACGCAGCAAGCTAAATGTCTGGAACTCACCGACTTTGTAGGGCAGTTTGTCCGACATGTTGGCACTTCGGCACGGAGTGAGGGGCAAGAGCGAAAGGGGCCAGGCCTTAAGCAGAGGAGAAGCACTGAGCGGGATACAGCCGGCAGGGAGCTGTGCGAGGTAGCGGCGCCTTTAAATATCTTCTTATTTGCATATTCATGATTCCGTTAGGGGCTCTACTGCCTGGGGCGGAACCTAATGTGCGGGGGCGGGGCTGTGACGGACATCGTCCTCAGACCGAAAAGCTAGCTATAAGTGCTGATTTATCCTCAATTACCGAGTCCTGAGAGAGCACGAGGAGAGAGGCTTGGAGAACGAGCCCGGGAACGTTCTTTCATTGCTTTAGCGGGAGAATCCGACGTCAAAACCGAGTGGAACTGGAATCCCAGCAGTTCACTTCCCCGAGCCTCATTTCCCTTGTCTGTAAAAATGGGCCAGTGGTAGCTACCACGTTCAGGACAGCTGCAGTAAGTCAGGTATCCAGCACATCTCCCCTCCCCCAACTTTTTCCCTTCCCCCAGCCCCTCAAGTAACCAAACTTTACATGTTTGTTTAAACATATGTTTAAATCATTGAACAATTCACAATCTTCCCCACCCCCGTTTTTAAAAGAATTGTTTTAATTAGCCACGTTAAGATCTTGCAAGCATTTCTCCCACTTCCTCATCCACCAGATGCTTGCTGTCTTGTCACATCTTCTTCCTATCCTAACTTTTTCGCATTTGGCTCACTTCTTTGTGTGCATTTCCTCACCACAGGCTGTATGCCCTCCACCCCCACCCAGATCTGTGAAACCTCTACAGCCAAGGTCAAAAGTTGCCTCTTTTATAAGCACAATACTCTTGCCTTCCAATTTCCTGACTCACCTCTCACTCTCACTGTTCACTGGATTCATTTTCTGGATTTAGCAGCTTCCTCCTCTTCCAAACACATGCAAGAAAGGGTTCAAAAGTCAAAGGTATTGCTGTGGAATCTGAATCAACTCCTAGCTGACCCTTCAGCCAGTTTTCCAAGGCTGTGAATTGCCTGGGAGGTGATTGCTCATTTTCTCCCCCAGAGCCACTGGTGGACAAGAGAGAGATGCCACCTTTGGTTTAGCAGCACAACTCCCTACAGATTACTGCTTAAATCAACAGTTGTTCTGTGCCATAGAGGTGATTGGGTCTCATATTAACCCAATAAACAATGGATCTGAACCCTACCCTATCTTGTGCATTCTCCACCACAAACTTGAGTCCTTTGTATAGTCATCATGTCAGGTCATCTTGTTGAGGATCTTCCTCTTTTTGGGCAGAAACTGAGGCCAGAGAGGCAGATTGGGGGGAGGGGGATGATAAATTTGTCTTGTCCTTTGATGCCTTGTGGTGATGTGTCACATTCTTCAGTCCTGTGATCATTCAACTGAAGAGTGTGGTCAATTGGCATAGAAAACTGGAAATTGAAGCACATCAACAAGAAGAATGAACAGACTCATCCACCTGGCATGACCAATGACTAACTCTAAGACCCTGTTATAAACACCTGCCCAGATACACCTTGGGTGCGACTTCCTTGGCCTCTCTTTCCAGACCAAGGAACCTCGTCCGGGAACTCCCTTAATAAAGTTGCCTTTAAGCTTTCCTATATTTTGGTCGTTTTCTTGAGTCCACAGCCTTATGACCTTATACTTCTCTTATACTGACCCTCCCCCTCTCCAAGCATGATGCCCTTCTTCAGGGACTAGTTCTTTTCAAGATGTCAAAAGTATCTGAGCTTCACCATCCTTGCCTCAAAGAAGCACCCTGGTGTCACTTTGTCCATGACAGACTTGTTCTTTGGCAATCCATGAGCTGTTCAGTACTCTTTATCAACACCACAACTCTAAGGCATCACTTCTGTCATCTTTACTCATTGTCCAACTTTCAGAGATATAACAAGTAATTGGTAAGAGTATGACTTGAGTCAGACACACTTTAGTCTTTAAACTGACATCATTACTCTTTAGCACTTTGAGAAATTCCTGACAACACATTATCCTTATGTCTTGACTGCTGGTATCAAAAGTGTTGTTTGTGAATCCAAGTAAAATTAAGTAATTAATATTTCAGTCTTTTATCCATCTTTCATGATGTTTCCTATTGACCCAGTGGTGAGGATTTTTGGCTTCTTGATGTTGGGATGAAATTAATCCACACTGAAGACAGAAGTCATTGAATTTCTGCAGAAAGTGTTTCAAGACCAACTCACTTTCAGCAAGCAAGGTTGTGTCATTTGCATACCACAGGTTGTTAATGAGTCTGCCTCTGCTCCTGATGTCATTCTTTTTCATACCAACTTCTCGAATGATTTGTTCAGTATAGAGGTGAATTAGGTATGGATATAAGCTATCAGATCAAGGGCGGGACAATGGGAGATAGATGAACTGTGTGCCTTAAGGATTGCAGTGCAGCTTCTTACCTGTAGGCTGTCAGAGCTCCATCTTTTGCCAAGATAGTAGGTGTAAAATGGCACCTTACTGTGGTTTTAATTTGTGTTTCTCTTACTACTAATGAGACTGAGAATCAATTCATAGTCATATGTTGTAATCTCATATGTTGTGCTTCTTGGTAAAAGTTCTGTTCATGTCTTTGCTCGTTTAAAGATGGGTGATTCCCCCCCCCCTTTTAAATAATAGGAGTTCTTTAATGGCCTGGATAGAAGTCCTTTGCTAATTCTATGTCTTATAGATATCTTCTCACAGTTTGTGCCTCATCTTCTCAACCTCTTTGTTGTGTCTCTTAATGAATGGAAGTTCTTAGTTTTAATGTAATATTATCTTTTCCTTTTGTGATTTTTTTAAATCTTTTTTTCAGAAAGTCTGTCTTGTCTTAGTTACCTAGTAACTGCCTTAACAGAACTACCACAGGTAGGTAGCATTAAAAAAGAGAAATTTATTTTCTTAGTAGTGGAAACTCTCCTACGTTTTGTATCTACAAACAATCCTTAGAGTGGCTTTGCTTGAAAACCATCCTCACATGCACTCTGTCTTCCATGTATGTCTCTTGGTTGATTCTGATCTTGTTGTTGTGTACTGTCTAATTAGATCTGACTGACACAAGAAATTACCCTTCCTTCCTTCTCCAGCGGAGCATCTGGTGAATTTGAACCACGTGCCTTCGGGATTGCAGTACAGCTTCTTGCCACTAGGCCACCAGAGCTCCCTATTCTGATCTTCTTTTAACCCAAGGAAAACTCTGGTGTCCTGTGGGTAGAGAGTCCCACACCCAAAGGCAAACAGTTTGAATAAACCAGCTCCTCTGAGGGGAAAACATGGGCAATCTCCTATGCACGTTACCACTGCCTCTGAAAACCCCCTGGAGGGTCAGGTTAAGTGATGATGAATCAGTTCCAACTTGATGGCAATGAGTTAGTTGCTTAGAAGTGATTAAGCTTAGGATCCACCCTATACTGGTAGGACTTGACCTTAACTGATCATTGATTATGTTATATTAGATTATATTTTAGAAAATTACTAAGTTACCTTGCCTGATCATGTTGCATGGCATTACCAGTTAATCATTTACTGTCAAGTCAATTCTAACTTATACTGACTCTTTATGTTTCAGAGTAGATGTGAGTTCCATGGGGCTTTCATGTTTGTGACTTTTGAAAGCAAATCTCTAGTCGGTTCTTCAGAAGTACCTCTGAGGAAGTTTGAACTACCAACCTTTCAGTTAGTTCCCCTTTGCTTAAATGTTTGCACTACCTGCACACTCTTATATTACATTAAATGTTTCTCTGAAGTAAAAATGTGTGTGTGTGTGTGTGTGTGTGTGTGTGTGAATACACACACCCACATAGCTATCCAGTTACTTCTGACTCTTAGCAACTCTCTGTCAGGCTTCCAAGACTGTAAATCTTTACAGGACTCTGCCTGTCTTTCTCCCACAGAGCAGATGGTGAACTTGAACTGTTGACCTTTTCGTTAACAGTCCGGTAGGTTATATAGCATGCCACCAGGGCGCCTCCATTTATTTAAAGCTCATTTGAATTATGTATTTTGTATTAAAGGTCCCAAATATGTTTTGTTAAATTTGTTCATAGATATTTTGTATATTATTTAAAATTTATTAATTAAATGTTCAGTTTTAAGATTTTTTAGTAGATGGATAGAACTGAAATTGCCTTTAATATATGCACCTTGTATCATAAATCTTACTAAATTATCTTACTTGCCTATTCATTCTTTTAGATTGACTGTATGCGCTGTCTAAGCCTCATGGTTCGAATCCAGCAGCTGCGCCATGGAAGAAGGGTGAGCTATATCTTCATGTATAGTTTCCTGCTTCTGAAAACCCACTGGAGATCAGCTATGGGTTGGTTCCAACTCAGTGGTACACAACAGCAATATGTACATCTACTGTCTGAGAGTAATGACAATTTTGGTTTTTACTTTCAAATCCTGACACAGCTTAATTTGTTGAATCAAAAATTCATTTGTTGAATCACAAATTCATTTGTTGATTGATTGAATGAAGGAATGTACAGTGAAAGCTATGACAGCCAGAACTTGATTATACATCCTTGGTTTTTCAGAATCTGGAATGCTTCAGTCTTTGACAGGATGTACTTTTCTTTTTTTTTTTTTTTTACTTTTTTCCTTTCTTTTTTTTAATGTTTTTTTTTTAAATTTTCTTATTTTATGTGTATGTACCATCAAATCAGATCTGACTGGTACAGGAAGAGATTGTCCCTCCTTCTCCAGCAGAGCATCGGGTGGATTCGAACCACATACCTCTGGGATTGCAGTGCAGCTTCTTGCCACTAGGCCACCAGAGTTCCCCTTTTTTTTTTTAGTTTTAAAACATTTTTAAATTAATTTTAATGAAAGTTTACAGAAACTTACGTTTCCAGTCATTCACTAAAGAAAGATAGACCATCTTCTTCTATAAAGATATAGCCTTGGAAACCCTATGAGGTTGTACTCTGTCCTTCAGGATTCTTATAGGGTTTTCTCATCAGAATCAACTCCATGTTAGTCATGATTTATTGGAGAAGGA